GTTCCAGAGGGCCTTGTTTCAACACCCAGGAACTAACCAGCAGACTTTCAGAGTATCTGGCCAGCAGATATTAGTGGCATTAGTCGCTGGAACTACTTTTCAGTCATATTCAGCACAAGTAGCTTAAGTTTCCCTTTAATCAAGTTACTAAAAATATGTCTGAAAGTACACTGCATGCATGAAGCAGTAAAGAGACAATACAGTAGATGTCAAGCTTTGATTTTGCAGCCTTCATGACAGACTTGCTGTTAGCTCTCCAACATTCAGCTGAAATAGTCCTGAAGTAGTCCGAGTTACATATATAACCAGGAAAATTGAACCAGTCTTCTTGCATGCAGTCCTCATGTTGCTACTTATGCTATAGAAAATGCTTTCCCAAATTTGTGTCTTTGGACTGTAGAACTCCAGTGATGCAATGGTTTAATTATTTTGCTTGAAACAAAGATAGAGGGCATAACAGCTCAATTTAGTCACACTGAAATGGCATTCGTCACTAACTGCAATGCTTGCCAAGTAAGCAGAAGGCAGCCTCTATAGCCAGAGCACCTGTGGCCACTGGCTGTGCATTAAGCTGGCCTGATCACTTAGCTCTCCTGTCAGAGGGATCTTTGCATCTCTCTCTGCAGAAGCCAAGTGGTCACACACCTCCTTACAGAGGGAGGAAGCTGTGGGAAGGACACTGTCAACGTTCAAGGATCCCATATTCCAACCAAAAGCCTCTATAGTTTACCTTGCTCCACCTAGCAGCACACAGGACACTTCCACCTAACCCACTGCTTCCTCCGCTCAAGGGGTCAAGCAACATCTTCGGCAGTGCAAGTCAAATCCACCCTGCTGCGGCAGTCTGCCGACAGAGCACAGCCTATGGCTAAGCACTTTTAGCCCATATGCCATCTGTAACACGAAGCATGCCCAGCTAAAATGGAAATTGTGCAACAGAAGCAAACCCCTAAGACAGTCAGCATCTACAAGAGTGTTTTGCTGCCCTCCTGCAGCCAGGCCAGAGCTGGCAGTAGGGAGCCTCAGCAATACAACCTCACCTCCCATGGATTTGAAGTTTTGTCATTAGCCCAAACTGCTGGGCCAGCTTCATGGAGGCTATATGTCCTGACAGTACAGTATCCTGATCCGGTAGCTTTCACCTTGCTAGCAGTTCATCTCCCTACTTGCTTTTGGGCCCAGCAGAATGCAGAAGCAGTTTTCTTGCAAAGCATAAGTGAGGTCTAGCAGGCCCTCATTCTTTCCAGAACATGTGGCAGAAGCTGTCTAGCACCAAGAACCACTGTTCAGGGGTGGTAATAGCAAGTCCCAGGCTATGACATACCGTTTTGTCTTCTGCTGACTACACTGACAAAAGAGGGGCTACAATACTCACTCTCAGTATTTTGATCTAGAACAGTTTAACTGTACACTGGAGCCTTTAAAATACTATCAAGCCCCTGACATTAAGAAATACCAGGGTATTTGCACAAGTATAGTTTGGCAGTCCCACTACTCACTTCACTTTCTGAAGTGCCTTTTCCTCCCCATGACAGATTACACCATCTTTCCCACTGCACTTCCAATCACCCTTATCCTACCCTCCCTTCCTCTTCCTACATATCCTGATCCTCCCCCGCTTCACCACCTCAGGGCCAGTATTTAGTTTATACTCACCAATGATCCCTATTCAAGGTTAATACCTAATGAAGCTTCCTCTATAGGCACAGGCTTTATCTACTGGCCACACATCAGTTCCATCTTGCTGTTTCCTTACCTAAACAGGGACAGACAAGATAAGAGTATTTCTATCCTCTCCCCTGCTGCTGGAGTCCCAAGACAGCCCTACTACCTGAAACAAGCTAGTTAATCTCTGTCCATTTAGCATTAGAGTTTAAAGCTGCACCAGCCTTCACCATGGGAACATTTTCCCCTCCCCCCAATATTCCTGTCTGCTAAGTTAAGAAGGGCACATAAAGGCTCAAAGTTACCAATTGCTGCAAGACAGATGATATTTTTACCTTCCCCTCCACCCATCACCTGCAGGTTCTGCAAGCCTATAAAGACTTTCACTCAGTATTCTCAAATGGCAGATACTTTAATTCTAGTAGTTTCACATACAGCAGAAAAAGGTGAAAGCTCTGGCTAGTTCACAGCTCAGAGCAAATAACTAGAAAACACTTGTTCAACAAACTTCTGCCTGTTCCACTAGATCAAGATTGTTTTAAAAGGTTCATATTCAAGAGAAGCAGATGAAAGGAAATTACCTAAAAAGCGTTATTCAAGGCAGGTGTATTTCTAGCCATCAAGTCATCTAATATACATCTTCCAAGAGGCTGAAGAAAATACATACTGAAAAGACTTAAGCACCCTTAACAGCTTAAAACACAAGTCATCTTCCTGCGAGTTAAGCTTAGTCACAGTGCAAGACTACATTCAGATGCAACAGTATGCGAGTCAAATAGGCGGCTCACAGAGTGTTACAGGGCTGTCTTCACTTCTATGCAGGGTGTGTTGTGGATAGTTATTAAACAACATAGACTAGGTAGATTAAGCCAGGCAGCTTGTCCAGTATGCAAAATAATTCCAAGCACTGTCTACATACACACAAATTAATTCACAAAGTTCCTGTTTTAGCATTTAATTTGCATTTTCTCAGAAAAGTTGAGAGTCTTAACCTTGGGTAACACCCCCTGCTCCCTCAAAGACAAGACATATGCCTGTTTGGCACCGAAAAGCTTCAACACCGCTACAGAGAAAGGAAAACCAAGTCAGCTACTGATGTGACAGCCAACGGAGAGAGGCATCGCCGCTGAAGTGACAGCTGACAGCCTAATTAACACAGGCCACACCAGCAGGAAGGCTGGTCACAGACACACACAAGGCAGCTGACCCACGGAGGAAGAGCAAGTTTAAACGCCTGCAGCGCTTCATGGCTAGCGCCCGGCCACCGGCCCTGACGAGCAGGTCCGGCTCCCGCATCCC